GATAGATATTATTAATTCCAACATCCATCATGAACTGTGTTTGTTTCCAGTCGAACCCGTTTTGGGGACGGACTGGTGCGCGAGCTTAGTTTTTATTTTTAATTTTTTTCACTGTAAGTATTTATTTGACGCTATAAGAAAAAAAAAAAACAACGACTTTGTACGAGTAGAGTGAGCGGACTGCGCAGACTCCGGCCAGAATGAACCAGAACTTTTTTTAAGGGATATAACAACAACAGGAGAAATAACATTTTCAAGGCACAAGATAGAACAGAGCAAACAATAGAAATAAACAAAGGAAAAAAATTCATACACATTCACACAGTTGTACAACTACAATCAGAAGTCTTCCAATATTTTCAAATCCATGGAAATAATGAATTACCTGCCTGAGGCTTTGCCGAGAGGAGGCGATAAAAGCGCAGGAAGTGATGACGTTTTTATTTATTTATTTATTTTACCTTGGGTGCGCACCTGAGTGAGAAAGTTTGGCGTGTGGCTGAGACCCTGGAATACCCGTGGATTATTGTTTTACGGTGGACGAGTGGGCTGAAGGATTATTGTTTTTCCTTTCATCAGGGACTGCAGGGGAGGCACGCTAATAAACCACGGACATTGGAGATCTGGTGAGATCGTTCTGTTTCCTTTTGTTTGAGGCGCGCCGACGCCTTCACTGAGGGGAGGTTTCCCGCGCTTGCCCCGCGTTTGAACTTTCACGTGAGGAGGACATTTGGACTGAGACATTTAAATATTACCTTTTTGTTATGCAAAGTTATGTGATTAATATGTTGTTTTGAGAATGTAAGGGGAAATGAAGGGGCGGGGATTAAGCGATTGAAAGATAAAAGTTGAAAACTATCGGTTGTTGTGATTTTTTTCCCCACTTTATTTATTATTATTGCATTCATCTGGGCTATTTGTTGTCCTTGATCAGATGTGTGATTCGTTCTGCACTAAAGCCCATTCAAACTTTAAAACAATACAGCCCCAGGAACCCACTCCCGACCTTAACAAGCGTGACGTAATTAACTCCAAAACAGCTGGTTTTGGGCTGATTGTTACAGAGTAAGGTGTTACATTTTAATGTAAAGAAGTAAAAATATCTTTTTTAGTTTTAAAAGGTAACAAAATAAAAGTAGATGTTTAAAAATAGTTGGTTAAATTACAAATCCTCAAAAAAACCTACTTAAATACTGTAAGTAAATGCATTTAGTTACTATAAACCTCTGGTTTCTGTGTAAACCTAATTTCTCTTGTAGTTTTTTCAAGTAAAATCCTGTTTGAGATCAAATCAGCTCAAAATGCTCACGACCGACTTCAGCAAACAGTGTAGAGAAAAGCAAACAGAAAACTGATAATATTTGTTTAAGTGGTTTGAAAAGTCATGTTTGTTGTTAAGTGTGGTATAAAGCAGTACTGTAGAGCAGTGTTTCCCAAAGTTGGGGTCAGGACCCAAAGTGGGATCCCGAAACATCAAGGTGGGGTCCTGAAAAGATTTTCTGAATTAATTACATTTTTGCCTTAGTTGTTACAAAGGTGTGAGGTTAGTGTATTTAAAAATGGATAAATGTAGTATAAAAATATTGTTATTGTGCCCATGTTTATTTGACCTGATAAAAATGTTTATCATCCAAAAATAGTTGGGGGCACAGGTCTCTGCTGCTGTTATTTTGTGGGTCAAAAGCTGAAATGTTTGGGAACCACTGCACTTTGGTTCCCAAAGTTGGGCTTGGGACCCAATTATGGGTCATGAAGCACCTTAATCTCCAGAAATCAATTTAAAGGGTGATGATGTAATATTTTCCCTATTATTACAAAAACACAAAATCAGTATAAATAAGTATTTATATTTGTGTAAAGCTGTTTAGATAGTCAAAAACCTGTGTTTTTAGGGTTATTAATGAAGTATTGTACTCAGACCAGTAATATTTGGGGTCACAAGTTTTTGCCATGGATATTTTGTGGGTCAGAAGATAAAAAGTTTGGGAACCACTGCTGTAGAGGGTCTATGATGATGAAATTCCAAAACAAAATAAAACAATAATAACTGCATTACATTTTTTTATTAAAATATCTGCATATCTCAAACCTCGCAGTACAAAAATAACACTAATACTTAGGAGAAAATACTTCATGACACACAGATGGAAGTTTATTTTGTGTCCTATAGTGTCACACAAGTTTAACTTTGGCAAATTATTTTAACATTATTACAAAAACTTTTGGGGGGTGGGGGGGATAAAACCACCTATGTCAGCTTATTTGTATTTTCTAGAGAAGTTTAGCAACCCTGTTCACATTTATCCACGTTTTGTTCATAAACCAACTTATAATATGTTCTAAAAAAAACCCAATATTTTATAAACAAACTGAATCTCACTGCAGGCATAAAGACAAAGTGAACCCTCATTTTAAAACAAACACCAAACAGAGTTACTGGTTTGATATGTTTTAGAAAAAAACTAAGTGGGTAAACACTTTAAAACCTGCTATTTACTTCATGAGAGTTGAAGAGTTAACTAGAGATAAATTACACTAACATAGAAGGATAGATTAAGACTAAAGTTCATACACCACATGAAAGATTTGACTGAAAATTGTGTTTTAGGGATATTTAACGTGCATAGAAAACATGAAGTGCACGTGTCTGACAATTTCCACAAAGTTGCAGTTCACACAAAGCCCAACACGTTCAGCAGTTCTTGTTTGTTCAGCGGAGTGCAAAAAGGTTTAAGGTTTGGGGAACGCAGAGTCTTGTAAGACATCGAGGCAGTTCACAGTGATGAGTGCCCCGGTCAGGTGTCTCCACTGTCTGGTGACGGGGTTTTTCATTTTATCCAGGGCCAGGTGCAGATCCTGGATCATGTCTCTGTAGCTGTCTCCGTAACGCAGACTCCAGGAGTACAGAAAGTCATAGGCGGGCTTCCACATGGACTGGAAAAATCATTGTATCATATAATGAGATTTATTAGAATAATAAACTGTAACAATATTCCCCCCAAATACAGTAATGTTCTCAAACTGTGGTTCAACTCGTGGTCCATCTAATAAAAAAAAACGTGTGGTGTCATGCTAGTTAAATAATTAGCTTTAGCTAGATAAAAAGTAGACATGCAAGCCAAAAAGGTGAGTGGTTCAATCACATTCTGATCTCATGTACAAAAAAAATAATAATAAAATAAAAAGTTTTAATGCAGAATTTTTCAAGAACCCTAGGAGTAGGCAATAGTTAACCAATGCACTATAGCCAATTTTAGCAGCACCAGTGAGGTCTGTGCTATGCCTGTTGACAACAAAAGGTGCAAAAGAATGAGAAAAAGATTAAGATTATCTTAAATTTGTATGTGGTTGTTTTGGGTCAAAAGAAAAGCACAGTCCTCACACTGTGATTGCATGTGGTGCCACTCTGAGCAGTAGATGCATGAAAACATCCCATCTTTTGTTGGACCCTTTTGACCCAACATGCAGAGCTACTGGACAAGAAGGTTGTTGTTGATTATTTTATGATAAAACACAAAGAAGTGAATAAGTCGAAGTCAAATCGCATTAGATGATAGCTTGCTGCAGTACACCTGATTGAAATGCTAGGTCATCAGTTTTATCATTCAGCTGTGTTGGACACACCCGACCAGAACTGAGTCTCAACTGACCTCCAAACCGATTTCACCATTCTTCCCTCGATGTGGTGCTTCGTAACCAGCAATGTGAGAGCTGGTCAGTTTTTCTAACCTCTCAGCGAGCTCCCGCCATCGGATGCCCAGCTCCACGGCGGTAGACAGAATGACCGTGTTCTGAATGACCTTTGCCACGAGAGTCACAGCGTTCATTTTCAGCAGCCCCTTGACAATACAAATACAATTGAGCGGTTACAAAAACAATGAAAGCACAATTAATTTAAAAATTATTTAGCAAAATTCTGATATGAAATAATTTCAATAATCAAGCCAGGGGGTAATAAATGCATTCACTGTTTTTTCTGGATCAGTTTGGGGGAAGGATATTCCTGATTTTAGTAATAATGAAAGATGGAACTTCATGTGGAAGATAAGGAAAATATCCCATAAAAAAGTTTAAAATTCCCTTCCTTTGTATCTGAGGCCAAAGTAATGCCATCCAGAATAAGTGAATGGCTAGACCATTTGATTTTGAAGTGCTTAAATCCAAAGACAACAATCTCATGAAAATGTAGGTTTTCATGTCTTGGATTCATCAGGTTGTATGGACAAACACAGAAGTACGTAAAGTACTTGAAAGAAATGACTAAGTAAAAGTAAAACAACCTTAATATAAAATGACTATTAAAAATATTTCACTAAGAAAAGTACTTATGGAAGAATAAAGTAAATAATATGGGTCCAAGCACTGAACCCTGGGCAACTCCATAGATAACTCGGTGTATGAAGAAGATTCGTAATTAACACAAACAGAGAAATCTATCTGATAACTACACTATTATTTAAACCAGTTTATGGATGTTTCTGCAATCCTAATGCTATGTTCAAATATCTGTAATAGAATATTTTAATCAGTGATTTTGTGATTACACAAGAATTATGAAACATAGTCATATATTTTTACCTACCAGCATTAGTTCATGCAGAAACTTTTTCCTGTCCTTCTCAGTATGGCAGTCTTCTTTCAACTTTTCCAGAACACTGGCCACTTTGTCAGCTTCAGTTTCAGCATTTCTCCTTTTAATGGTGTCAACAGGCTGGCCTCTATACCCTAAAGCATCTGCAAAACTTCTCCAGCTTGTGATATGTTCTGTGACCAATGTCTGGATGGCAGATAGCATGTACGTAAGCTTCTTGAAGGGCACCGTCATGTTGTCTAAGAGGATCTCTGATGTTAAACAAGGATCAGCAGTGGTGAAGCCAATCACCTGATCCTTGGTTATGAGTTTGATGTTTTTGTAGTGAACCAAGCCAATTTTTCCTCTGAGGAATCCAATGTACCACTCTTTGACCTTCAAATTACCAACTGACTTGACAGTGTCTTTAGAAAGGAGCGCCACTGTGTCACCTTTGAAGTATTCCAGCAGGTAATCCACGTGAGGCTGACGGATGACGGACTTTAGGGCAATGCCGTACCACTGAACATGTACAGGTCTGTTTGTGAATTTAGCTAAATTGGGATCACTTTCCTCAAGGATAGGCAGGGTTTTTGCTATTTCTGTCTTATCTTCTGCATGCCTCGGCAACCTCTTCTCAGATCTGATGGGTGCTACAGGAGGGGAAGACACCTGAAAACAAGCTGAAGACGAGCTTGATTCCTCTACACATACATCCAACACAAAAGGAGCCATTTGTTTGGGGCCAGAACACGATACTGCAACTGGTAAATGCAGAACAGTCCCTATTTTCAATCGTTTCTGTCTCACTTGTTTCACTTTATCCTCAGGTTTGATTCTAAACACAGAGTCTTTGATGCCAACCTTAATGAAAAAGTCATTCAGCACATCTGGTTTATAAGAATGTTTACCCCAAAGCTGAAGCACAAGTGGAGGTAGGGTTTTGTTGCCCCTGCAAATATCTGAAAAGGGAAGTTTAGGTGGAACGTCCTCATGACAGCAGACGACCACTACAACTTTGAAAGACGGATGGATGTACCTTGGGCCGTAGACGGCCACGGTAATGTGGCGGTCAAGGTAATCCCAAACAGACGTGGCAGGGGGTTTCAGAGAAAGAGCCTCGGCAACAGCGACTGCAAAGAAACGTGTCTTTAAGTCCTGGAGTTTCAGCTGTATGAAGTTTTTCTGAATGTCACAGTTGCTCATTTTGACATATGGCCCCTCTCTTTTGTTGGACATCAGTCCATACACAGCGGTCATCTTCTGAACCTCCGGATCGTTCTTGACCTCTCCGGACAATTTTATCTCCACAGACAAACACTCGTTTGTGTTGATGTTGCTGAGGAGCACCTCAAGAAGTGGACTCATGGTTGTTATGTAGTTGTTGTTGAGTCCAGGAGGAGGGTCCAACATTGCTTTCAGTGTAATCTCCTGCACTTCTCCAGGAGGCAYGTGTCCTTGTGGTACTTGGATGCTGATTTTGGACTCTGGTAACTGAACTGAGCCTCCTCTGTGGTCGATCTTGGAGATAACTTGAAAGTTAGTGGCCTGGGTCTGAGACCATCCAGGGCTCTGGCTTATCATGTTTAAGTCCAAGCATGATCTGGTCAGCTGTCTGTGGCTGAGCCAGGCCATCTTATAGGCCTCTCTGTCATTCTTCAGCCACTCAAAGTCTGGGTTTAGCACAGGTTCGGGTGGTCTGAAGTCACTCTTGTTCTTTGGCTCTTTTCTTTCCAGGTCATCCAGGATATCTGAAGCGCTTCTCCATCTCCCAGACTGATTGCTTGCTTTGTGCTTGTTCTCCAAAAAGTTCCCCACGTTGCCTTCATCTGAAGAAGTGCTGAAGGTGTCCTCATTGTTTGTGTCCAGATTTTCTGTACTTTCTTGGTTTCCATTTGATGTGTTGTTTTCATGATGGTCTGAGTTGCTGTRTACAATATCATCAAGGAAAGGGTTTGATGCAGATAGTTTTTTCCAGAATGGGTTTTTAATATCAGACGTCTCTGAAACTTCTGGATATGAAAGCTGCCAGTCTGATGTTTGTGTCCTTTCTAATAATCCACCTTTGAAAAATAAAAAAAGATCAGTTAGATCATTTACAGTACTCTGCAAAAGTTTTTTTTTTCACAAGCCTTTTAATTTTAATTCCTTGCTTTCAATCAACTTAACTCTCATGTTCTTTTTAAAAGTGATGTAGTTCTGTAGTTCTTCAGCCCTTTGAAAGTCTTTAAAGTTATTCTTTGGACTTTGGCTGCTTTTTCTCCCTCATTTTTGCTTATTGAGTCTAGTCCCTGAATCTGACAATGGCATTATCTTGTAAGACTTGAAAATCTACAGTAGATGAATGGAATTTTAAAACCACGTCTACACAAAATAATATAAAAACACAGCAAAGTCATGAAAATGGACATGAGCGATGCATCATCCTTCATGATGTTCTTTATATGTCAAATTTTCAGTCAATAGCTCTTTGGGAATGAYATTGTTGGTGCTAAAATCCTATTTTATAAATCACACTTGGTATTTCTTATATATTCAACTAAAGAAACTGTCACAGAGTTGGTTGGTTTAGTTTTTGCTTAGATGGTATTTGTGGATACAACAGTTTTGGAACTTTGTGCAGAAATGACTCACAGGTCAGACTAAAGCTGCCTAACAAATAACTATTTTCAGTTTATTATTTGATAATCATTAAAAGTGAGCTATTTTTATTAAAGCAGACAAAAAGCTCTCCGGAAAACTTGAGGAGTGACTGATCAAGATGATTTTAAGTGTTAAAAGGAAATTCTTTCCCCTTTGGAAGCAGAATATAAATAAATATAGGATGACTCCTAACATTTAAACAGGGCTGTATAAGTTATTGTATTTTTAAGACATTCATTCTGTAAATCAGATCATTTTACCTTTCTGATTGTCACTGGTTGGGCCATTGTCACTCAGATCAATCAGTGTGCTCTCAGATTTACTCCGCAGGAGACTTCCAACACGACGAAAGGACTTKGTGCCTCCAGCTGCCATATTTTCATCTGTAAACAACAACTATGTTTAACGACACATTCATTTCCTCTTTACCTAAAATCATTCTGTCACACAGAATAACAGAATCACAATGTTTTTTATCCATTAGAAATGGTGTCCCAGTACAGATTCTGGTACACAGATACTGGTATACTGGTACTGGTATACTGATACTGGTAAACATATACTGGTATATTGATACTGGTACACATAAACTGGTATACTGATACTGGTAGACCAACATTGGTATACTGATACAGAAACTTATATACTGGTACACTGATACTATACTGGTATAATGATACTGGTATACTGATATTGGTACACAGATACCAGTATACTGATACTGGTATAATGGTACAAGTGATACTGGTATAATGGTACTGGTATACTGATACTGGTATGCTGATACTGGTATAATGGTACTGGTGATACTGGTATAATGGTACTGGTATACTGATACTGGTATACTGATATTGGCACACAGATACTAGTATACTGATACTGGTATACTGATACTGTTATAATGGTACTGGTGATACTGGTATAATGGTACTGGTATACTGATATTGGTACACATATACTGGTCTACTGATACTGGTAGACCAACATTGTTATACTGATACAGAAACTGGTATACTGATACACTGATACTATACTGGTATACTTATACTGGTATGCTGATACTGGTATAATGGTACTGGTATACTGATACTGGTATACTGATATTGGTACACAGATACTAGTATACTGATACTGGTATACTGATACTGGTATAATGGTACTGGTGTTACTGGTATAATGGTACTGGAATACTGGTACTGGTATACTGATACTGGTATACTGATATAGGTACACAGATACTGGTATACTGATACTGGTATACTGATATATAGATTTATAGATGTATAGATATTTATATGATATTGATATATAGATACTGGTAACAAACAGAAGTACTTGTACTTGGTTTGAGAAAAAGTGGTATCAAGACACCCCAATAAGAACTCATTTTCTGAGTTCTGTTACAGCATTTTCTCCACACTAGCTTTTCTTCATGCATGTACAGTACTTGGATCCAGAAAAAACATCTTATTTCTAAGAAATTTTTCAATAATGGTTTGTTTAATTAGAGTTTCATTGGTATAATGGGAGGGAGAAGAGTACACAAAATCACATTAGTTAAAGCTTTTGACTCTAGTAATTCTATAATAATAAAAACTCTACAATTAACAATGTAAAATGAAAATCTCTGGATTTTGAATTTATCATATTTTAATAGATGCTGAGTATTTGTTAAAACAGTAAAAAAACAACAACAACCATTTAATTACAACATGTTGTCCTAACAAATACAAATAATAAATTGTAAATTGTAAATTTCAGTACAGACATCTTCTATACATCTTGAAAAATCAATGTGTTTGTTTATATTAGAATAAGTGTTCAAACAACCAACCAATAAAACAACAGGTTTTTGGTTTTTGCTTACCAGCTCTTCTATACATAGCACACATAATAGACAAAATGTGACAGTAACAGTCATCAGTAGCACTTAAACAAATCTCCTGGTGCAGTAATTGTTCTGTTTTCAGACATGCGTCCTTCAGGTTCTCAGGACTTCCGTCAGCCCGAAACTGTTTCCAACTTTAGAATAAAAGCCTGAACTTTTCATCCTGCTGCTCGCTTGCGTAAAAATGACAGGATCTATTGAAGAGCAATGTCAGTGAGTCAGTCATTAATAATGTGGTTTCTTACATCGGTGCACAAAAACAGGTTGGTCTAGTCAAGCCAAGGACACAGTTTGTTCTGGCACAGCTTCTTGCTCTGATCAAAGCACATCGACACACTGTCCTCTTTAGTGCCTCTTCTGAGGAAAGACTGCATTAAATGATTCCCAACGTTTTATTTAGTGTTAAACAGCTTTCAACATTGAATATATCTCAGGATAGTAATCCATTTAGTTCAACATGTTCTTGCTTTATGAAAAGCTTTATACTTATTATGGAAACAAAATAGATCAGATATAGAATCACAAAATCTAAAAATAGGTACTTTTTATCTATACAGGTGTAACTGAGTAGTTACATATTAATAAAGGCTGACTAGAAGCCACTTCCTACTGTTCCTATATAAAAAAGGAAATTTGATCTGACCACAAACAGCAGGTGTTTACTTACTTCTTGTTGGCAGGTGAAAAAAGAAAAATCAGTTCCCGGTCATTTCTCCAGTTTCTGCCTGTGTGAGTTCACCTCCTGTCCTGGCATGGATCGGCTCCTCTCGGCTCGGCTCGGCTGGCTCTGCAGCACGGAGCATTTTGGGACTGGAAGTTTGAACGGCTGCAGGCGCTCCGGGCAGAGGAGTGGCTTGTGTGGGTGGGGGGAGGTGACTACATTACCCAGAATGCAGCGGGGCTGTTTACGCGTCGGAACACCTGAAACTGAGAGATCCCGGTAGTTTCGAGGGAAGGACGGAGATTCGTGATAAGAGTGAGACACAGACAGGTTCACAGACAGGCAGACAAGTGAACTCGCCTGTAAAAAAGGTATTTGTGCTGTTTGAGTTTCTGCCTTTACAACAGGTGAAGGTCAGGATGCTTCTGTAGAACTTTGGCGACAGAAGCAGGTGCTTAAAAAGTTAATTTCCCACATTGACAAAACAAAACAAATGATAACTACATTGAAATAATTCTTATACCTGTGCATTTTAGGTTTGCAGGGTTTTAATGTGTGAATTCTGATTCACAATCAAAATAATTGAGACAATAGACCATTTTGCAGTGTTGAATGAAATACCACAAAGTGATACTTGAGTAAAAGTTAAAGTCTCYTTTAGGAATAATACTTGAATAAAAGTCTTAAAGTATCTGATATTTTTTGTACTTAAGTATTAAAAGTAAAAGTATTGATGTAAAATGAGCAGTTAGATTTTCTGTAAGGACATTTATCCCCAAAAACTGCAGAAATGACTATATTGTATAAAAAATTATTAATTGATGTTAAATTTAGGATGCACTAGTCCAGCTGTTTCAGTTTATATACATATATCAAGGCTGCACAAAGCTTTTCCCCAAAATGAAAATCTATCTGAGGGCTGCGGCCAAATGTAATAATATAATTCATGAAATACAAATACTTCTTAAGTACAGTCCTTTTATTTTAATGATTATGTCCTGCTGGAGTGTGACATGATTTGTTTGTGTACAAACTAATACACTATCAGAATTTTATATGTTTATACTTCTCATTCAACCACAATTAAATTCACTCTATCTAGGAGGCACAATTTATATGGATAATATTTTTTTCAATAACAAGCTGGAATGAAAACAAGCAAAAATTAAATAAAAGTAACAACTTTCTACTTCTTGCTTTTAAAAAAATGTAAGGAGTAGAAGTAAAAAGTAGGCTGAAAAATAATTACTCAAGTAAAGTACAGATACCCAAAAAAATCTACTTAAGTACAGTAATAAAGTACTCATACTTATACTYAACTCTGCCATTTTGGGCACAGCATTGTAGGGTTTGAGGTTATTTGGTAAAACCAAACTCTTCGCTATGAAATTTTACAGATGCGACCACATCTTTTTTTCATTTATCTGAAATGTTTTTGCAAATTACAGCAGAGAAAACAATGGAGCATCAATTAACTTTTTACAAGCAAGGGTCTGTTGTGCAATTTGAAGTTTTTATTCGTAAAAATCTAATTTTGTAACTGGTGACAGCTTTATTTTCAACATGATTTTGATTTATGTTCATTGGTAACTTGTCCCTAATTTGTCCCTTTATAGTGGGAGAGTGAATGGTTTTCTCATTTGTCTTTACGTGTCCCTGGGATGGACTTGAGACCTGTCCAGAATGTCCCCTCCCCTCACACAGTGACTGGGCATCAGTGACCCCTGTGACTCTGAAAGGAAGAAGCAGATATAGATTGATTTGATTTATTTATTTAACAGGAAAAGATTACTAAAAATCAAGCCTGACTCAGCATAATTGCAGTTTTACAGCAGACTCAGAATTACAGCATCACAATCACATCATTATTATTACACCATAGACACAAAGACAAACAAGCATACCAGATTTCAGGAAGGCAGCATTTGCAAAATAGGACATCTAAATATGAGCACAACAAAAAGTGTCCAGCAGATGGCAGACAAGATTCTTCTTAAAGGCTGTAGTTTTGAAATGGACTTTATGTTTTGAGGAATGTCATTCCATGCTTTAGTATAACCATAGAAGAAAGACCTCTGGCCGTAACAGTTTTTAAAAGTTGGTAATATCAGTTGTCCTTTTGTAACAGATCTAGTTGAATGACC